CTTGAAGTCCCATCTTGGGCCTCCTGACTCGAAGCTGCACTCTCTGTCTTCTGCTTCATTACCAGACTTCTTTAAAACATTGCCTAAACTCACTGTCCTCTCCACGTCCTCTCCCATCAATTCTCCAGTCTACTGCATCCATCCATGCCATTCCACCAAAACCACTGTCATCATCAAGGTCACCAATTACCTCCTTATTGTTGATCCAAATGAACGTTTTTCTGGCTTTCCTTACTTGACGCCACCCACCCACCCCCTAATTTAATGAGTCACTGTCTATGATTCTCCCTCTTTTACCGTCCATTTATTTGTCCCACTTCTGACTCCATTAACCACCTCTTGCCTGGGCTGTCCCAATGCGCTCTCCCAGGCTTATCATCCGCATGTGTACATGGGCCTGGTCTTATTTTTCTTAGGTTAAAATCTGGAATGGCTCATCACCCACCATGGAATGAAATCCAAACTGTAGCAGGGCATAAAAGACCCTTGAAAATGGTGCTCCAGCCTCCTGTTTCATGTTTTTTGCCTACACATACCCTGTGCCTGCCTCATCCACATCAAATCTGCATAGTTTTTTTGTTAACTTACTCTCTGACTTCCTGTATGAAGTTCTCTTGCCTGGGATGCTTTTCACCCTATCCTCCCCCTCAAAATCTCTTACTTATCCATTAAGTTTTATTTCAAATGCCACATGTAAAGTTAGTGGCTCCTTTTTTAGTCCTACATGCTACTACTACTAATGATACCAAAAAATGTCATAATCATAATATGCTCAGCTCAGTCCTTGTTGAACAGTAGCTCAGGGCAGAATTTTTGTTTTGTTCACTGATATATCCAAACTCCCAAGGCTATGCCTAGCACTCTGTAAGCGCTTGCCAAGGGAATGAATGAAGATTAACCTTTACTGAGCACTAATTCTGCCAGACACTCTCATGCATTATCTTATTCCCTCCTCTTCAGCCCTATGAGGAAGGAACTGTTTTTATCCCAATTTTGCATAAGAGGAAACTGAAGCTTAGCAAGATTACATAACTTGCCCAAGGTCACACACTTGATTCTTGGCATAGCTAGGATTTGAACCATAATTTATCCAAGCTCTAAATAATCTCACTCTGCTGTCTTTGAGCTTTGTTCAGCACGGTGGACAAACTTTGCATGGTGCTTTCTAACTCTACTAGAGGTCATAATAGTTCAGAAAAGGAAAACAGTATCTGTTTATGCATTTATTTCTTTATTACTATGAGTTCCCCAAGAATAGGAACTGCATCCAAGTTACCTTTAGCTCCCTCAAAACTCCAAGCAGCCAGCAGTGTCTTACATGTGTTTGTATTAAAAAATTATTTGTTGTTATGTGCTGTCGAGTCAAGTTTGACCCAAAGGGACCCCATGTGACAGAATAGAACTGCCCCCTAGGGTTTCCTAGACTGTAATCTTTATGGGAACAAATCACCAAGTCTTTTCTTCTTCAGAGCTGCTGGGTCAGTTTGAACCATCAACGTTTGGTTAGCAGCCAAGCATTTACCCATTGCACTACGAGGGCTCCTTAATGAATGTTTACTGTATGAAATAATGAGAGTGCTATTAAGAGGCAGCATCTGGCAGTGAGTACTTTCTGTGTTATCAGTCATTTTAAGGACTGTCCTGATTACCCTGAATCCGGTCCCAACTGCTGCCTATTCTGACCTTTTGCTTCTTCAGCATACTAGGCTCACGGCCTTCCCTGGCTGACCCACCCTCCACCCTGACTCCAGACCTTTGCCATCCTTCCTGTCCCTGTGAAATTCCCCTGCCTGCCTTCCTGCTGTGGCCTCATCACAAAGAGCAAGTTCGGCCCAGCCCTCTCTTCTTTTTGACCTCATGCCTTCTTTGCACCCTGCTGCTTCCCTGGTCACTTGTAAGACAGGGGTAACACAACACTTAGATAGATAATTCTAACCAGTGGAGAGTGTGATCAACAGTGTGAAAAGCCACGAAGCACTGCAGGACTTAGGAAGAAGAAACTTCTAGTTAAATGATGAAGGAACTGAAAATTAAGTCACTGGTTTGTTTGTTTGTTTTTAATCATGGAGAAGTTTAGTTTTTTTTTTTTAATAAAGTGTTTAGCTTCTCTAGGTTTATGAGTTATTTAGGATATTGATTGCAAATAATAGAAATGAGCAACTTAAGCTAAGGGAGAGGGAGTTTACTATAAGGATAAAGGATCTCTAAGACCCCAAAGGTTAGAATGCAGCTGGGCCTCAGGGAGAAATGGAAGCAGAGCCGGAAAACAGTGCAGGTCCTGGACAGCATTCTCTTTCCATGTCTTATCTCCTCTGTCTCTGTACATCTGATTCGTTCCTGCTTCTTTGCGGACTTCTTCTAGTTGGCAGACCTCTTCATGGTGCATGGCTGCCAGTGGTTATGGAGTTTAAACATCGAGAGACTGACTGTCTCTGTCAAAAATACAGATTCTCAGGGAAGTCTACCTGATTGGCCCAGCTTGGGTCAGGTGCTCACCCCTAGCCCAGTAATCTGTGGCCAGTGGAACCAGATAATGTTGGACAGCATGACTGACAGGAGCCCATCTCTGTGGAGAAAGGAAAAGTTAAAGGAGTCGTAAGCTGAGCAAACTGCTCAAAAATGTCCACTAGGGCCTGTTTCCTGCAAATGATCTTGTGAAAGATTTCTGGGTCTTCTCAAGCCAAAATAAGAGGCTTCCCGTCTTTTGTTTGTTTGTTTGTTTTTTAGTGTTATTTTTATTTATTGTGATTTGGGTGAAAGTTTACAGAGCAAATTTATTTTGCATTCAACAGTTCATACGTATTTTATTTCATGACATTGATTGTAATCCCCACAGTGTAACAGCTCTCTTCCCACTTCCTCTCTGTGGTTACCTTTTCCCTGTGTCCTTCTTTCCTATGCATTCCTACCCCCTGAGATAGCTCCCTGTGCAAATACTACCCTTCTGATCTCCCATGGTTGATTGTTTTAAGGAGTGTGCCTACCTGACATAAACATTAACCCTGTATTCCTGGCTGTTATTTGCCTGGAAGCCACAGGAGTGAGTTCATTTCCAAGCCAAAGGATGAGTAGGGGGCCATAAAAAAAAACCCGCTGCCGTCAGGTTGGATCCAACTCATAGCGACCCATCTTTGGGTTTCCGAGGCAGTATCACTATGGAAGTAGATTGCCCAACCTTCCTTCCGAAGAGTGGCTGGTGGATTTGAACTGCCAGCCTTCTGGTTAGCAGTCACATGCCTTAGGCACTATGCCACCAGAGCTCCCACTCGAGTAGGAGCCATAGTCTTGGGGATTTCACTGGTCTCTATCACACCAGTAAGCCTGGTCATTTTTATGGTTTTGAGTTTTGTTCCACATTTTTCTCCCACTCTATCCAGGATCTCCTGCACTGGTCCCCCTCCGAACGGTTGACAGTGGTAGCTGGGCACCATCTACATTCTTCTGGTCTCATGGTTATATAGGCTGAGGTTTGCATGGTCCCTTGGACTGATTGTTTCCATGAGTCTTTGATTGTTTCCATGAGTCTTTGGTTTCCGTCATTCTTCTTTGCGCCAGCCAAGGAGAGACCAATTGTTGCATCTTAGATGGCCGCTTGCAAGCTTTTAAGACCCTAGTCGCTACTCACTAAAGTAGGATGTAGCATAGTGTTTTTGTGTAATATGTTATGCCAGTTGAGCTTGAGTCCCCCATAACCATGGGCGCAGTAACACTTCCTCAGGGTGTTTGGCTATAGCCAAGAAGTTATTATAAGTTTTCTCTATCAGCTCTATTATATATATGGACATTATTATAGCACATACAAATATGTATGTAGAAATATCATCTGCCAAACTTACATATTCCCTTTTGCCTAGACATACCTGATCATTTAGTGTGTTTATCTATGTATCCATGCAGAGATTAATGTTTTTTCTTATTACTGATGATGTAGTATTGTGTATGTAAAAGTGTTTATCCTTGTTGTCTGTACCTCTTATGCACTTCTCTTTGTCTTCAAGGTTTCCTATCTTTGAGATTCTTTTTCACAAACAAATCATAAATATGGATTGCCATTTAGCAAACTCTGGTAGTGTAGTGCCTAAGGCACTTGACTGCTAACCAGAAGGCTGGCGTTTCAAACCTACCAGCCACTCCTCGGAAGGAAGGTTGGGCAATCTACTTCCATAGTGGTATCGCCTCGGAAACCCAAGGAGGGGTCGCTATGAGTTGGGTCTCACTAGACGGCACATAACAACAACATTTAGCAAATATCATCCCAATTAACGAAGAAGATGTTCCGTTGGTAATTACTAACTAAACATGTTTTCAATGCTAGTTTTGTTCACTGAAGGCCTAGAATCCTGGATCCCAGTGAGTGCCTCACACACATCTCTTTGACCCACTAGACTTCAGCAGGGAAGAGAGACAGTTATCTGGTGAACCACGCTGGGCTTTTCTTCCTTCTCCAGGCCTCACAGGAATGATACCCACTCCTCCCCTTCAGCAACCAGAGTCCTACTTTCCACCTGATAAACCATTGTAATTAGGTCTGAGGAGATAGACTTCCCTCCTTTCATGGGTTCCTTACCTGGACAGATTCAGAGAGAGGTAACCTTTGCCATTGCTCCTAATATGGTTTGAGGTGGGGAGAGAGATATGTTCCAATCTGGCACTGCTTATTCAGTGTGTCAGGCCCTGGATCTATGAATCCTAGGCTAGAAAAAGGCAACCTAGAGTTTATGCAAAGTCAGAAGTGGGAGAGCTAGACTCAGGTTGACAAGTGAATTCAGAGTTTCCTATCTATCCTTCATGGACTTGGCCTCTCAACACCACTAATTTCACTGTGGCTGGTAGAGGGTGACACACACTGCATAGGCCCGTGGAATGGGGGTGACAACTCCGGGCTGTGGTAGGAGGGCCCAGAGCCCTGTCTGGAGGGTGGACTCATGGCTCTTCTCCTCCCCAGGCATAGTGTACCCACCTAGACCTTCTCAGTGACACCTCCCTGGCTTGTCTTCCAGGCTCCCCAGGTACAGCAGGCCGAGTGTGCAACCTCACCTCCCGAGGCATGGACAGCTGCGAAGTCATGTGCTGTGGGAGAGGCTATGACACCTCCCGCGTCACCCGGATGACCAAGTGCGAGTGTAAGTTCCACTGGTGCTGCGCCGTGCGCTGTCAGGACTGCCTGGAGGCTCTGGATGTGCACACGTGCAAGGCCCCCAAGAGTGCTGACTGGGCGGCTTCCACATGACCCAGCAGAGGTCACTATCTGCCCTCCCTCCTGACAGGATGCCGTTGGATCTGCAAGGACACAGGACCTTTGGATTCTCTTCCGGGGTGTATTTCCTAAGGCATGTGGCCTTTGTCTCAACAGAAGCCCCTTTTCTCTCCCTGGGGGCCCAAGACCCAGAGCCACACACATACTATAAGGCATACCCTATTCTATCCATCTTCCAGCATTTTAGGGTCACACCTTTTCCTGGTGGAGAACATGAGAGGCTGTTAGAGGGAAGGATGGTAGACCCAGATGACTTTCTCCACCCACCTAGACTTCACTCTTTCTAGAACAGTTGGCCAGGGGAGGAGAAGTATTTCTCAAAGGAACTTTCTCTCTGCCTTCCAACACATTCTCACAGTTAAGAAATCTCATACTTTTCTCTGGGAAACAAAGTAAAGAAAGCAGAATCAACTCCCACCGAATTAACATTGATTCTTGAAAAAAAAAAAAATGAAGTGAAGCTTTTGTCTGGTCAGGTGAATGTCCTGTCCACCACCCCCAGGGTTATTTGGTAATAGCCTGGAGAAAGATGTCTTTCAATAAACTTTAGGTTTAAAGTGCATATTTTTCAAGGCATTTATTGCCACCTTAAAATCTGATGTAACAAGGTGGGATTATATGTCCCTTGGTATAGTAGCATTTTGAATCTTTGCAATAGCAAAGCCCTTGGAAGATGATTGCTTTGAATTCTTGTCTCTTTGATACAAAGAACCTGTAGGGAATGAGACTTCTTCTCACTTGGATCTGGTATGAATTAAAAAGACAACTGAGCTGGCAGTATTCTGTAACTATTGGGTAAATATGGAGGAAGATAACATAGTGAGTGGAATATCAGAAATGTGTCTGTGCCGCTAAGGAAAAAAAGGGGGAAATGAAATTCCTATTTGGTGTTATGCATGTTGACCCATGGGATTCTGTAACTGAAACAGCTCTGAGAATGAAATCTTTCAGGATGACAAGAAGAGGGATCTAAAATGCTGACAGAGAGGTTTCCAGAGCTAAGTCATGCCTGGGACAGACTTTACCATAAGCAGATGCCTAAGAGAAGTGAGCCACGTAGCTGAGGACCATCAACCAGTACCCATCACCCTGCAAGCACATTTAAAGACCTGTCACATTTAATTGTGTTCATTTGATGCTTACAAGATGATGTGATACTGTAGCCTAAAGCAAATGGCACACAGCCTTACTTAGAAAGTTGGTAGCCCCAGTGTATTATATTGCAAACAATCTTTGCTTATAGACTATATTTAAGGAACCCAACTGCAATTATGGGAACATCATTATGCAAATAGTGGTCACCTTCTGCCATGGGCCAAAAGATGACATCCAGGGTAAATGGAAAGGCTGCCTGCCCCATTTTTTATGTTAAATGGTGAAATGCATGAAGCTACTTCTCCTCACCACTTTCTGTCATTAAGTCCTTATTCTAGTGATGTACTCTTCACAGAACTACATCAGTTAAAAGTATATTTCATTATATGTATCTGGTGCCAAATGATTGATCCTTGTCCATTCTTTAACACTTTAGCTTCAATTTCTCTACCCTTGATTTGCAGTGGGTTGTTTAGACTAAGGTTCATGAAAAACAACCTACCAGAGTATTTTGTTATGATTGACACTTGCTGCCTAGCTCTCTTAAAAATGCCAGAATTCATATTCTTGCCCTCACTCCCAAACCCCAAAATTTGTTGACTAATTTTTCCAAAGTGCTCTTTCCTCTTTTTATTATATGGACCCAGAGGGGGTGGGGTGTGTGTGTGTGTGTCTGTGTTTGTGTGTGACGATGGAGCAAGGCAGCAGCTGCTCTGAGCTCAGTGTGGGCCCTGTGGGAAGTCTGGGCAAGTAGGCGGCTGGTCACTTCCTCGTTACACTGAAAAACCAGTTGCCATCGAGTCACTTGAGACTCATGGTGACCCATGTGAGTCAGAGTAGAACTGTGCTCCACTGGGCTTTTAATGGCACATTTGTCTGAAGCAGATCATCAGCCTTTTCTTCTAAGGCATCTTTGCGTGAACTCAAACCCTCAGCCTCTCAGTCAGCAGAGCAGGTGAATCATTTGCACTACCCAGAGACCCCTCCGTTACATCAGTATAAATACACTTCCCCATGAGAGGGTGACAGATGTCCACAGGAGTCCCAAAGCCATCAGTCTCCTAACTCATAAATCTATGGGTACATTTAGAACTGGAAAGGATCTTCAAGGACATCTCAATTCCCCTCAGTTTGTATCTGGAGAAACAGACCAAAAGAGGTGCCAAAAAAAAAAAAAATCAAATTCACTGCCATAGTGTTGATTCCAACTCATAGTGACCCCATTTAAGTTTCTGAGGCAGTAAACCTTTATGGAAGTAGATTGCCCCATTTTTCTTCCACAAGTGGCTGGTAGGTTTGAACTACCAACCTTCTGGTTAGCAGTGAAATGCCTTATGCACTACACCACCAGAGCTCCTTAAGAGAGGTGCAGGAATCTGTAAAAATACCAGCCATTAGTCCAAAGCTCCATCACAAATAGGACCACACCCTAAACTTTAGCACTTTATCTATTAAGTGAAACTTCTTTCTCTCAGAATTAACCCAGAAGATTCTAAATAATTTTAGCATCCAGTGGACATGTTCATTGTTACTTGTTTTTACTCCTTGGATGGTTAGACCTTTCTTTTTATGCTGAAAGATACCAGGAGCAAGGAGAAAAGGCATATCCATGAAGTGCACTGCATGAATTGTCCAAATGTATAAGAGTGACTGTGGGACCATCTCAAGTGGTAGTGGGTCCTGAAGAGAGAGAATTGTTTTTATGTCCTTTCATATAAAGGAGGCAGTCTCCATTAGTTGATAAATGTTAAAAATACAGATGAAGATCACTTCCAGTTCATTCTCTTTAGGGCTTGATGACTTGTTATTAGTTACCATCGAGTAGATTCTGGCTCATGGTGACTGTGCTGCAGAGTAGAAAGTCACTGTAGGATTTACAAGGCTGTGACCTTTCAGAAGTAGATCATCAGGTCTGTCTTCTGAGGTGCCTCCGGGTTCAAACTGCTAACCTTTTGGCTGGTAGTCCAGCACTTCACCATTTGCACCACCTACGCTCTCCTTAGTGCTTGGTACCAAAAAACCAAAACCCACTGCCATTAAGTTGATTCCAACTCATAGCGAACCCCTTTGGGTTTCCAAGGTGATAACTCTTTATGGAAGTAGATTGCCCCATCTTCCTTCCGCAGAGTGGCTAGTGGGTTTGAACTGCCAGCCTTCTGGTTAGCAGTCAGATGCCTTAGGCACTGCACCACCAGAGCTCCTTGAGTGCTTGGTAGGCGGTCACTATTATTTTCCATGGAAGGGCTTGCACTTGGCTGAAATGGCATTCCATGCCATTGGTATTCCATGATTCTGATAGCTGAGGCTTTTAAGGGGCTGTGTAGCACAAATTACCCACAACAAAATAATGAGGAAATTCATTCAGATCAAACCCCCTTACAAATTCTCTCCCAATAAATATCGTATTAAAAATAGAAGTTTCCTAGACCCAAGAAGATGATTTTCTGCAGTACCTGAAAGAGTTCCAACACAATAAGAGATCTTGACCAGTTCACTGGAGTTTTCTGCAATAAAGATAAAATCTGCACGTGACTCAGACACTTGGCCTACGTATGAGCTGTCTCTTGAGCAGATTTGCCTCCCCAAATCAGTTTGTGATACTGACAGTATTCTCTGAACATGTAAAGGTGCCTTTCAGTGAGAGCATCCCTGATGCTCCCTCATGACCTGAAAGAGGCAGTGCCGTACTTAAGAGACCAGTTTATCCCCTCAAATGGCTTCAGCTCAGACACAAAAGCCCCCAGTGCCATGATCACACTTAACTCTGGCTCTGTCCCTCAGGGTGGGACCTTGGACATGTTATTGAGCCCCAGAGGCTTAAGGAAGAACTGGGAGAGGTATGGGACAACCCAGAACCACTGACTGCAGTCCCTGTTACGATTGTCACCAGATTGCAGTGAACATCTGGGAAGGATCTCTCACATAGCAGTTTAGTCTGGTTCAGACCAGATGCTGGCGGGGGGGGGGGGAGCAGGTGAGAGGGAGGAGAGGGGTAGTTGTTGCCAGTTGACTGGCCACTCTTGGAGATGGTGGGAGTGGCTTTCCCAGGTCCTGATGGTAACCCGCACCCTTCCTCCTGCTGCTTCTGCCCCTACCCCCTCCGCCAGCACCTACTTCCTCAGCGACATGAAGCACCCAGCCCTGCTCAGGGCTGCCAAGTCATTTCAGGAGGTGTTTGGAAATTGTCAGAGCCTTATTTGATTACTAACCCTTTTATTCAGATTGTTACAAAGCTTTAGAAAATTCAGACATCACATTTCTTTTTCAGAGAATGTTGATTTAAAGACAGAAAATCCAGTTTCACAGTGGCCTTTCTGGGCCCTATTAATTTATTAAGGAATCATATAGAAGGAGCCCTGATGGCCCAATGGTTAAGTGCTCAGCTGTTAACCAAAAGGTGGGTTGATTCAAGCCACACAGCCACTCCATGGGATAAAAACGTGGCCGTCTCCTCCCATAATGATTACAGCTCTACACTGTCACGTGGGCTGCTGTGAGTCAAATCGACTGAGGGCACATGCCAGGATCCACCAGGAATCTCATAGGGACTCTCGGGGACCTGAAGCAGCTGGCCTGACTGGGCACGTGCAGGGCCTGCCAGCAATAGCAGGAGGGATCCTGTTATTACTTCTCACCTATTGAAGACTGGCCAGGCTGGTGGTGTCACTCACCTGAAGAGCTTTCCTCTCCCTTCTTCTCTTGCCCACTCTCAAAATAAAGGCTCAGAGTGGAGTTCAATGGACCAGAGTTTAGCTTTTCTGTCTACTTACTGTACTTTCACCTGGGTTTCTTTATGTTTAAGAGTAAGAACAATACTCTTAACAAACAAATGTCACCAGTTCCAAGTCTGGTAAACAGGTTCTGGCAGGTCTGTGCTG